TATTTGTCCACCTATTGAAGCGATTTCATTGTCTATCTCTGTCAATCAGAAAAACCAGTTGGGGAGGTAGAAATTCCTGTTTCTTCTCCTCTCTTGTGTCAACAGTGGTGCCTGGCACACTCGACATACAGGTACTGAACTGGCTGACCAAATAGAGGAAAATAACTTATGAGTCATGTCTGGCATATGGTAGGGGTTCTATATACATTAGTTTTTTTGGTGTTATTTCCCCACAGAGTTCATTATCATTTTGAAAAACTGCTTCATCTTGTCAATGCTTTTCAACAGGACTCTGTGCTCCACTCTCCACCCACCACCTGAACCAGCAGAGGGGATCAGGGCTGCTACCTGCAGGCTGTTAATGCCAACTCTATTCACAGTGTTCCGTATTTGGAGGCCCCTGGTAAACTTTTAGACAGCCAGATTATAAACACACACACAGAGACACACAAATCTACTTATAATTTTATTTTGATAGAATTACTTTCCAAGCTACACAAGAGAGAAATTCCTTGGATCCAAGAGATGTGATTTTTTTAGACAAGTCCCAAGATAATTAATGGTGATGAGAGAAAGCTACTTATACAGTAGGAGTTATAGGGCAATCTTGGGTTTTGGAGATTACCCTGAGTTGTGTTTCATTATGTTGATTATATAAAACATATCAAAATCAGAGAACATTAATATTTATGTATCTTCTAGTGTAACTTAAGGAAGCTCTGGTGGCTTAGTGGTAAGGAGTTGCACTGAGAGCTTAGAAACATGATTCAAATCCACAAGTCTCTTGGTGGGAGAATTGATGGGCAATTTCCTCCTTTACTACCTCTGAAAACTTAATGATGAGTCTACAAGCTGGTTCACACATACACAAACTGCCAGTGGAACTACTGAGGACTCTGGTGGCCTAGCTGTTAAGAAGTTACATTGCCAACCAAGAGGCAGGTAGTTCGAACATGAGAGAAAGATAAATAAGGTTCTCCTGTGTGATGCACAGCCTCTGAAAACCCACTAAAGGGTTAGCCATGAGTCAGTACCAACCTGACGGCACATAACTACCACGAAAGAGTAATTTACACGGAATTTTCATGCTGCTCATACTTAGATTTTCTATTAAACAGTAAGAGAGGGGCGTCTCCTCCTTTTATGCATTTCAACCTTGGAAACATGACGGGAGGTCACTGAGCTGAACTGATTCAAAGACAGTGTCTGTGTACACAGGTGGGCAGGCGAGTAAGTACACTGTATTCTAGAGGGTAGGCCAGTTTTACATACAGACATGCAGACAGAAATATTGGTAAACACAGGTATTTTTTCATGTATACATACTGATAAAGAAACCAACTGTCATCCTCACTGAAGTATATATAGGTTTAAGCTTAGAAAAGTGGAGGGAGTCAATTTTTGTTAAAGCTATATTTTTAAAAAAAATATTATTATTAATTTAAATGAAAATTTACAGTGATTTTGGATTTCCATTCATTGTTGTACTTTTCTCCCTGCCCACCCCTCCCCTCCACTTCATTCTTCTCTTTGAAAAGTAAAAGAAAAATTCTTTCATTGTTATACAATCCCTCCCTCTAAGTCCACTCCACTGTGCAGTCTTTGTTCACAATAGCAAAGAGGTGGAAACAACCTAAGTGCCCATTAACAAATGAATAAATAAATAGAGAAACTGTGGTATATTCACACAATGGAATACTACCCTTGAAAAACAAGGAACTCATGAAATATTAAAAATGGGTGACCCTGGAGGACATTATGCTGAGTGAAATATCTCAGTCACAAAAGGACAAATACTGCATGGTGCCACTTTTGTAAAGCAGGACTGACATCAGGTTTGGGGGGGGGAGACTGAGAAAGATGGGATAAATTATGTATACTGCATTGAAACAGATGAGAGAGAGAACTGTCTAAAAGGTATATATGATTAGGTATTATTGCCATGACAGGAGTCCAAAACTAACTACATTTTACTATAACAGAGATAGCCAAATTTTAATATAACAGAGTACACACTCTTTGTGGTTCAATCAGAACCAACTTTTGTTCCAACTGAAATGAAATGAACCACGCTGACCCTTCACTGGGTTTCGGAGACCATAAATTGCAAGAGACGAGTTTCCCCTTTCTTTTTTTTTTAGGAGCAGCTGGAAGATCTGAACTGTGAGAAAGGCTCAGGCTTTGGGTTAATCATGTGCAACTCCCCATGGGCTATGCTACTAAAACAAAAGTGTACAAGCACTGAGCATAGCTACCTTTTAGGGAACCTGTTAGCCAGGAAACAGAACCGAGACTATACATCCTTGAAAATTTGAGTGGTTTTCCTGTTTTATTCTTTGAAGTTGTTGTGAGGTTCCCATCACACAGACACAGATACATATACAAAAACACAGACACGTGCAAATTGTTAATTAGCTGTCATTAGGTTAGCTCGTGAACTTGTGGCAAAACCTGTGCACAATTAACAAAAGTCTACCTGATCCTGCACCATCCTTCTCAGACCACTATGATCTAAATGGTTCCTACTGGCTGATTTTTAGATGACCAGGCCTTTCAGCTTAGGCAGCATCTGAGCAACATGCAATTCCCTCTCAGTGATAGATGGGTGGGTTTTACATGAAGGGTAATGACTAGGAACTGAACTTGTGTCTCCTGCATTCGAAATGATGAATCCTACCACTGAACTGGCACTGGTGTTGCTTGGTGTTATGTGCCTTCAAGTTGGAACCAACTCATAGCTGACCCTTCAGAAGGTTTTCAGAGGCTGTAAATTGTATGGGAGGAGACTGCCTGTCCATCTTTTCCCTTGAAGCAGCTGATGGATTTGAACTGCCTGCTTGAGTTTATAGTGCAACTCCTTAAGCCCTGAAATAGAGCTCCCTGAAACATCATTACTCTTGTATATATAGTTGCATACACATATACACAGGGAGTTCTGGTAGCCTGGTGGCAAGAAGTTGCGCTGCAATCCTAAAAGCATGCAGTTCAAGGCCACCGGCTACTCCATGGGAGAAGGATGGGCAATCTCCTCCTGTGCGATTAACTGCCTCTGAAAACCCGCTGGAAGGTGAGGTATGGTTCAATTCCAACTCGATGGCATACAACAACAACATACATAAACACACATACACATATACACATAAACTTAGCAAGTACTAAAGTACTACATATATTTAAGATACCTTCTTTGCATAAATGACACGGATCTACATTTTGGACAAGTTAGTACAGTCTATAATTGAATTAGTCAGCATTTTTTCTATTTTAAATGGCACCCCAGTTATTGAAACACTATATTCAATATACTGGTAGTAATAAAACAAGAAGAAAAAGAATCTCCTGTTAGCACGTCACACTGTATATGATGTGAACAGAAATATGATGGAGTAATGACATTCATTTCACTTTGAATTAAACACAACATCACCACAAGTCTCAAGAGATGATATTAAGCTTTGCGTTTGGGTAATACTGAGAAATCTATAGGCACGGGCAGGATTATATTTGGCTGGCAAAAAGCCAGTCAAACTTCACACTTGTCCTGAAGGTAGGGGGTCAAAAACTCAACTCTTGTCATCAAAGCGATCAGCCATAGTCACTTAAAAGACCTGGGCCTCAGAATCATTTGTTAGCCATTTTTAAGGTAAAATAAACATAAATGAATGAGATAAATCATTAGGTTTGGTGAAAAAGATATTAAGTTAGAACTGACTTTCAGGAAAAACAGTCCCGATCAAGTAGAATATGTCAAGTAAAAATGAAGAGCAGAACTAGATCTTCCCGATGGTGTCATCAGATACCCAGTTTGTGTTTTTGTTCCCCACCCCCCAGGTAAGAGGACTCAGAAATGAAGAGGAGAAGGAGATGCATTCACAGCTTCCTCCTGGTACTCCTCCAAACGCAGGCTATCCATTTTCTAGGGTTTGCAGTATATATTTCAAAAGAAGCCTTCACTTTGGTGGAAGGAAATACACACTGCTTGATATGTCTGGTTTTGCTGTAATAGTATAGAACGCCTCTAATAAATTTAACCGCAAAAAAAAAAAAGAGAGAAAAAAAGTTTCTTAACGTGTCTGCATTCTGCTAATTTATAAAAAGCAGGATGCTGTCAGATAAAATTTCATGAAAATGATCTATAAAGCAGACTGTCAAAAGTGAAAGGTACTCAGGCAGTACTTCGGGGCAGCAAATACACGGAGACCACTGGGCAAGGCTTCCCGTGACTGCGGTGGAAGGACGCGCAGGAATGGAGCTCACGTTACCTTGATTTGCAAGTTACTGTGAGGTCACAGGAAATCCTGAAATGTTTTCCACATTTTCTTTTATACATTTTATGTCAAATTTCCTGCCATTGAAATCATAAACCCTCCTACTGCTGGAACCTCTTCTGAAAGAAAGGCGATCTTGTGACACTCCCCTATGAACACCTAATAACTCAATTCCTACCACGGTAACAAGAAACCAAAGTACAGCATTGGAAATAGACTATGATAAGGCTTCAGAGTCAGATGCCCGAACTCTTGCAAAATGAAAACCACAGTGATGCCATTAAGACAACGCTAAAAGTGCACTCACAGTAGACTTTTCATTTGAGTAAGAGATAATAGAGGCAACAAGGGACTGCATAGGCACACTTACTCACCATTTCCCCCCAATCTCTGATCCAAAATACATTGGTAGATTTATGGTCTAATTTTAAAATGACACACTTTGTGCAGATATTTTTTACATGATTCAAGTTCCTTGCATTCATATTCTAGTGTTCCTGTGATGTTTATGAAAGGGTAAGTAAGACTTAAGCAAAATGATCCCACTGAAAACAGTCTGTCAAGATTTACCGCTCTCAGTGGTGGACTTTACAGTTTTTAAATGGTCAGACATGATTTTAATGTAAAGTAACAAAATGGAAGATCAGGCCACATATTCATTACTGAGTAATGATTTTGAAGGATGTGTGTGTGTGTGTGTTGGAACATGAATTATTAGTGTAGAAATCTTACCTCTCCAGACATATCAGGGGCCATAGGAATAGCAGGCCATAGAGATGAGTAGATTCCGAAAAACACCACCCAGAGTGCAATGCTTCCCCATATGGCTATATGGCTGAACTGTGAAGGAAGGAACTCTGTATCAAAGCACTAGTAGGTAGATTGAGTACTCAAAACCACATGAAGCTTTAAAAAAATTAGTTTTAAAGAAAAATTAGTTTGTTAACTTTGTCATTATATCCATAAGAAAATTAACTATGGTTGCTATGTATCTTTGAGTTGGAACTGACCCATAGCTGACCCTCCAGGGAGTTTTCAGATGCAGCAGGGAGAAACCGGAGGATTTGAACTTGGGCTTTAGGCTGGCAGTGCAAATGTTTTCCAGTAAGCCACATAGTTTTAATCTACCAGCTGCTCCATAAGAAAACGATGGGCACTCTCCTCCCATGTGATTTACAAACTCTGAAAAGCTGCTGGACAACCTTCTCTATCATTCATAACGTTATCTATTGCTGTTGTAATGTGCCATCAAGTCAGAATCGAATCAGAGCTGATCCTCTAGGGGGTTTTTAGAGGCAGTAAACTGCACAGGAGGTGATAGCCCATCTTTGTTCTGCAGAGCAACTGGTGGATTTGAACTGCATGCCTTTGAGATTGCAGTGCAGCTTCATACCACTAGGCCATCAGAGCTCTCTGTTATCTAGGTTTTAATACCTATTATCTATTGGAAGAGTTAAATAATTTGATCTTTTATGAAATCTTTTATTGTTGTTAATCTCTATTATAAATTTTTTCCTTGGACTTTTGGGTTGCTAAGTGGGTGGCATAAATAGCTAAAGGTTCAGCTATTTAAAGACAGACTAGTGGGCCTGAACCTACCTACAGGCACCTAAGAAGACAGACCTGTGATCTCATTCTGGAAGGTCACTGTCATGGACACTCTGTGGAGCATAATTCTACCTTGTAACATTTGAAGGTGATATGAGTGAGAATCAATTTGATGGCAACTGCTGATTGGCTTAAAAAAATCTACTCCTCAACTATTATGGATAATCTTCAGTAGAATCTTGCTTGCATGTGAAATCAATGATACTGTTCTGTAGTTTCCACACTCTGTTGGGTCACCCTTCTTTGGAATGGGAACAAATATAGATCTCCTTTAGTCGGTTGGCCAAGTGGCTGTTCTCCAGATTTCTTGGCACAACTTCGGTCAACACTCTTGGCACCAGCAGCCAGGAAAGAAAAAAAACGTATTGCGATGGTAAAGTCTGCTGTTAGGGACCTCTCTAAAGTACACAAGAGCAACTGTGTGTCTCTGGAGACTAAGGTGCGTCTGATACAGGCCATGGTCTTTGCACTCACTTGTTATGCATCAGAGGGTTGGGCAATAACTAGGGAGGACAGAAGGAGAGTTGATGCCTTTGAGCTGTGGTGCTGGAAAAGAGTATTGAATGTACCATGGACTGCCAAGAAAACAGATTCATCTTGGAGAGGGCTAAACCAGGCTACTCCTTGGAGGCAAGGAATCTGGGGCTTCATCTGACATACTTTGGACATGTTGTAAGGAGGGACAGGTCCCTGGAGAGGGAGATCATGCTTGAGAGGGTGGAGGGACAGCGCAGGAGGGAAAGGCCCTCTATGAGGTGGATTGATTCAGTGACTGGGGTAATCAGGATGGGTGTGTCAGAGGCAGTGCGACTGGCAGAGGATAGAACAGGGTTTTGGGCTGTTGTACATAATAGGGTCACTATGAATCGCAAGAGACTCGACAGCGCATAACAACAACAACAACAACAACTATTATGATGGTTGTGACACTAAAACTAGCTTGTACTTCTTTCTTGATGCCATATTTTTCTTCATAGAGTCCAGCTTCTTGAATAATTTTCTCAACATACAGAAAGGATAGGTATGGAAAGAGAACACAACTCTGATGCACAGCTTTTTTTAATTTTAAACCATGATGTAATAAACATTTCATGGACTGCCAAAAGAACAAACAAATACATCTTAGAGAAAGTGCAGCCAGATTGCTGATTGGAGGCAAAGATGATAAAGCTTCTTTGCCTCATCTACTTCAGCCATGTTGCTATGAGTGGTTATTCCTTGGAAAGAGATATCATGCTTGGAAAGGTAGAGGACTGGCAAAAGAGAAGAAGGCCCTCACCCAGGTGGACTGACACAGTGACTGCAGTGGGCTCCAGTACATCAGGAAGTGGGAGGCTGGCAAAGGATAGGACAGGGTTCAGATCTGTTGTTCATAGAGTCATTATGGATTGTACTCAACTCAACGACATCTAATAACGTCCTTCTTTATGTCCTTTGATAGCTAACATGGATTGAACTGTATCCCAAACTACGTGCCAACTTGGCTGCTGTGTAGTGATGTAATCACCCTCCGTCTCCAGGGTGTGGCGTGATCTGTTGCCATCAGCCCTGAGCTGAGGGTAGGTAGTTAAGGTAGGATACAATACCCTTCTTGGTCTTGGAAGAATTGTAACCAGAGTTCTTTTTAGGCAAGGATGGTGAAACGTATCTACCCATAGCATGTGTCAAGAGGGGCTAGTTCTTGGTAAAAGACATTATATTGGAAAGAGTAAAGGGTCAGCAAAAGGCAGGAAGACAATGAGATGGACCGCCAGTGGGCTTGAGCAAGGCAGAAATCATGGGGATGATGCAGGACAGAGCAAGGTTTCACCTGTTATCCATCGTGTCCTTACGAGTCATAGTTGACTTGAGGACCCTATGAGTCATAGCTGACCTTGAGGACACTTAACAACAACAATCAGACCATAGATAGCCATGATATCAAGGGCATTCCCCAGGCATATGGTCTGCACTACCCTTTACCTTACAAGATATAAAAGGAGAGACAATTTAGTAGAAATTAGAGGGCCATACTACCACCAAGAAAGGAAGGGCAGGAACAGTGTGTCCCCTTTGGACGGAGGGTCTCTGCACCATGAACCTATTAGACCCAGTAAAATAATTCATGCTGGTCTCTAACAGATGCTGAAAGAGGTCAAATATTTCCTCTAGAAGTTGTGCCTTGGATTGAGACTTCTGTCTTCTAATCAGTGACTGACTCAATCTCTGGGTTTGTTTCAAAGCTATCCATCCACTGTGGTATTTCCGTTATTGCTGTTGTTAGGTGTTATTGAGTTTGCTCTGACAACAGCTGCCTATGTACAACAGAAACTAAGACAGTGGTTCTCTTTCCTTATTAACTTCTGTACCCCCCGCCGTCTTTATGCTCTTGTTGAAAGATGTTAGACAATTGGAATCCAAATGCCTTTCAAATCCAAATTACTTATGCCAATCTTTCTCCTGAGCAGCATATTTGAAGTCTCTTTGTTTACTGGGTGTCTCCACCAGGATGGGAGCAACGTACTTCTAAACTAACATATCTAAGATGGAATGTGCTTTATCCAGAGTGTTAAAAAGAACTCTAAATACAAACCTTTTACTAATACTTTTCAGTGGAATTTTCTACTAAGGTCACTCTTGAGACATACTCTATTTAAGATTCCCAGTCAAACAAGTCTTAGAACCATTACTCATCTTCCTTAGAGAGACTTAGGGATTTGAAGTGCCTACTCAACACTCTTGGCACCAGTAGCCAGGAAATAAAAAAACATATTGTGATGGGAAAGTCTGCGGTTAGGGACCTCTCTAAAGTACTAAAGAGCAACGGTGTCTCTCTGGAGACTAAGGTGCGCCTGATACAGGCGGTGGTTTTTGCAATCACTTGTTATGCATCAGAGAGTTGGACAATGACTAGGGAGGATAGAAGGAGAATTGACGCCTTTGAGCTGTGGTGCT